ATATATTTTATTTTCATACATATAATGAATAAATAAATAAAATTATTATTATTATTATTCATGATAATTATTTCGTATTTAAAATTGCATAAATTTRCTATTAGTAATACACAATCTGTTTATCACCTTTTGTTTGTTCCTGATTGGTTAAACCTTTTTAAATACGTCTCGTTAATACGTCATTGGCTTATTTTCATAAGAAGATAAGTAACAGTAACGATATACGTGCAGAATCACTACTATAGTCAACTGAACAATTATTTGAATCGATGAAACCAAAATATTATCAATAATACAACGATAATAATTATCTTATCATTTATTTATAATTACAACATTTATCTAACTTTGGTGATTCAATATTATTTCTTAATTAATTATCTAAAGATAACGAATTAAAATCTTGATCAATTTCAACATTTAGGAAACAAATTGAACATTACACATTCGTTTAAGAATAAAATGTACGAATGCAATAAAACATTTATAAATAAATAATATATATAAACAAAATATATATTATCTTCACTACAATTCAAATTGACTAAAATTTCATTTCATGTTAGGATAAATAATTTGTTTTTCATTTTGTAAATGATCATTTGAGGAATGAGTGAACATGATGATTTAGGTTAAGTACAAATGTTAATCTTTGCGTTAGGATATTTTGTAAAGTAGGCTGAATTTCCAGTCATGGTTTTGTACGATTCGCCATCATGTGTTCTCGCCCACGTAAGAGATCTCGCAAGTCTGACCTTATTCGGAAAACCTTCTCTCCTGCGCCCACTTAATCCTTGCTCATTTCGTTTGCTGTAACTGTATTACTGTTAATGTTGATGTTAGTATTGCTGTTGTTGGTAAAGAAAGATTGGGGTAAGGACAATTGGGAGATTATGGTGCAATCCTTTAAAAGTGGGTGCACTTTTAACATCACTTTTTCCTATAGGGATATATGTATATATGTATCTGTATATATGAACATATGTTTGTCCATTGAATGATGACTTATGTATGTATGTGTATCAGTTGTTATAGTATTTTAATTGATAATCTTATGTTTGTTGGTTTTTAAGAAAAGTTAGGTCTGATATTTTAATTTATTTAACATTTTTATATAAACATATATTTGTTTATTGAATGGTGTATGTTAGGATGTATGAGGTTATGTTAGGTTGCTATAGTATTTTAATTAAAAATAAACTTAGGTTAATCTTATGTTTGTTGGTTTCTAAAGTAACTTAAATCAAATACTTTAATTTATTTATTATTTTTATATGAATATATGTTTGTTTATTGAATGGTGTATGTCAGGGTGTAGGAGGTTATGTTAAATTGCTATAGTGTTCTAGTTGAGAACAAATTTAGATTAATCTTATGTTTGTTGGTTTTTAAAATAACTTGATAGGATACTTTAATTTATTAATTATTTTTTTTATAAACATATGTTTGTTCATTAAATGGTGTATTTAAATATATATGAGGTTATGTTAAGTCGCTATAGTATTTTAATTAAGAATAAACTTAGGTTAATCTTATGTTTGTTGGTTTCTAAAATAACTTAAATCAAATACTATAATTTATTAAACATATTTATATAAATATAGGTTTGTTCACTAATTATAAGTGGTCTGTGTCAATGAGTAAGAGGTTATGTTAAGTATTTAACTATAGTATTTTAATTGAGAATACACTTAGGCTACAATCTTATGTATTTTGGTTTCTAAGATGACCTAAATGAGGTGTATCAATTTATTAAACATTTTTATATAAACATACATTTATTCGCTACCTGGTGATGAATTAAAACCATACATTTATTAACAATATATAAATCAAAACAATCACTATAAAAAAATGATAATAATGCAAACACTTTGATGATTCTCGATCAATTAATTTATAAATTATTATAATAACTTTAATTGTAATTACCAATTTTTTCCCCCAATTATTTTTGTTCTTTCTTCTCCACACTTTTTTCTCTTTCTACCTACCTAAATTTTTCCTTCCTTTTTTCTTTTTTTTTGTATTTTTACTCTTTCACGCATACACGTAACAGCATTGGAAATATGTCAAGGTAAGTAAGGAAGGGGATACCATCCTTATGAGAAAATATCTTCTCGATTTATTTTATTCGAGACACCTTTACAATGATCACACCTTTTTTTTTTATTATACTATATATATATATATCCATGTACACATACATACATACATATATACATAGATATATATATATATATATATTTATAGAAATGTAATTGTAGATATACATTCTCTTTCACACACATGAACACAAATAAAAAATTGGAATGTGTATATAATAATAATTTTAATTAAACCAATTGAAATAATTGATTGATAAAATACAACAAAAACACTTTGTTTCCCTCCCTCTTTTAACCAAATGTGTTGTGAAATGTGTGTGAGATGGAAGGACTGTTAGATATATTCATATTCATACACATATACATTTATACTTACATTTGTGTATATAATTATTCATTAAAATTTGCATCATAGAATAAACAAAAAATAAATAAATTCATTTTTATAGTTCATATATATTTTTTTTTTGGAAATGGAAGTATTAATTATATGTATATATTATGTTTGAATATATTGTAACATTATATACAATTACATACATACATACATACATAACACTTTAATTTTCATTTCACGAACACGTTTCTGACACGGTGTTGGTTTTCATCCATGTTTCTTTCAGACTTACACGTGCCTGCACGTGTGCGTTCTTGTCAACAACCAACCATGCTGCTCCCCCACCGTAAGTTCCATGGTGTTATTGCATACGAACGTTTAAAATTTCTTATCTAAAAAAAAAATAAAAGAAATCAAGAAATATCAGAATACAAAAATGCAGCAACAGCTAAAATATTTCCGTTTTATTTATTTTTTTTTTTTTAAATCATCCTATGTTTAATCATTTGTTTTTATTTATTTATCAAAAATACAATAAAATTTTATTTCGAGTTTATTTAATTTAAATTAATATTTTAATTAATAAATTTATTTATTTACGTTAAATTTTTGATTTCAAATCATCTTCAGGTTTGCATTAATTATTTATTTTATTTTATTTATTTATTTTATTTATTTATTTATTCATAAACGAGAGTTGTTGCTGCTGCTTCAAGCATGGCACTTGTCTCATACTCCTTGCTTATATTTATCTGTCAAATAAAAAATAATTCTAATAATTATAAATAATAATAATAATATTAATATAATAATTCGTTTATTAATTGTATGCATTGATGTCACACACATGTATTTTATTAATCACTCGCTTTACCTTTTTATATATATCATGTTGTGCATGATTTTGAAATGAATTTTTAATCTCAAAATTACTTTACTTTTCTTTTCTTTTTTTTTCTGTAGAAATATTTTATAAATAAATTTGTATTTATCATGAATAATCTTTAAACATCGTATTATCAAAGTTGACATTTTAAATTTTCATTTTTACTCGTATGCATTTAAATTTTCAATCAGTTAACTGTTGTTGCACTCCATTTTGAAAGTGAGTACCGCTGTGTGGCGCTACAATCGACCCAATGACTCTAAATGAGTCTGAAATGAACTCTGATAATAAAAAATAAATTAAAATAGTAATTTACAAATCTTAAAACTCTTCTTACTAATCTTGAAATTTGAGAATATGGTTTGTTTTTCACAAAAATTACAATTTATTAGCAAATTAACAGTTAACTATTTAATTTTCCCTAATCTCAGTGATCATGTTTTCGTTGCACGATGATAACGCACGTAATTTTACACCTTTGAACACACGTAATTTTATATTCGTAATATTCAAAACACACAAACTGCACAAAATTATACACACACTGCACATTTTATAATATAATATTATATTATATATTTATACAAATTGATATTACAATTTATTACAAATATTTATAAATATAATTCTATGAGTAATATATTATTTTTATTATTTTGTAAGATTATTTATACAAGGGGGACAAATAATAAAAAAGGGTCGTTTCAAATGAATCTCTGTTTTTATCTTTCGATAAATAATATCGAAGTTATTGGTCACAGTATATGTATGTGTAAACATTGATAAGAAATGTAAACAAAAATGTTCGGAGTGTTATTATCGATCGTGAGAAAAAAAAAATCTTATGCAAACATAAACGTGACCGATAATCAAAGGGTAACATTTGTTAACTGCATATCAACAAAATCACAATTTTTTTTTATATTAAAAATTAATTTAATTAATTAATAATTTGATTTATAATAAAATGAAATGTAAATTCAGAATTACATACATTTGAAAGATCCTTGAATTAAATTTGTTTGCCATCTGATGATTTTTATTTGATTAAAAATTGTTGTATGAAAATTCAAATGATTGAACATTTAATTAATTATTTGTTTAATTATTGTTTGTTTAGGCAAGCAGACATGTCGGAGATTTGTTCGAGGACCTGCGGGACGGGCACAACCTTATATCTTTATTGGAAGTACTTTCAGGAGAACATCTTGTGAGTATAACAATTATTTATAACAAAAATAAAATACAATGTATATTTTCAATTGATTGAAATAATTGTTTCTAATTTTTTCTTCTTATTTTTTATTTTTATTAAAATTCTAGCCACGAGAAAGAGGAAGGATGCGTTTCCACATGTTGCAAAACGTACAAATGGCATTAGATTTTCTTCGTTACAAGAAAATCAAGCTCGTTAACATACGTGCCGAGGATATCGTTGATGGAAACCCTAAATTAACCCTTGGACTCATTTGGACAATTATACTTCATTTCCAGGTAAGTGATTACAAATTATACTGGAAGTTAGAATCATTTATTTCAATTATTTTATCACATCTTTGTGTTTCGTATTTTTTATTTATTTCATTACAAATGAATTTAAACGCAATTTAATTTTATTTATTAAACAATTTATACGTTAAAAATTGTATAATTATTTTATTCTTTTTTTTTTTTTTTTTTTATTAATTTGTCAATCAAAAATTGATAGATAAATTTTTGCGAATAATATTACAAATTTATTTCTAATTTAAATTCAAGGTTAATAATATTTTTGTTAAATAATTAAATTACGAAAAGGGGGAAAGTATCGATGAAAAATAAATTGGAAATAAGAAATGATTTATTGAATTTTTTAATGATTTTATAAATTTATAAATCTGTCAGTTTAATCATAAAATTATTAAGTATAATAGGTAATTGTATTAAGAAATTAGTATTAAAATGAAGAAAAAGATGCAGTTATTATGTAAACTATGTAGGGGAAGAAACAGTTTGAACATTTCACACCATAACCATTCGTCTTCGGTTTGTACGGTGTGTGAAAGCTTAGAATGGTGTTTTAACTTCGAATGATTCACGAGTGCGTATTTTTGGTACACGTTATATATACCGATTTCACTATGTTATTATAGTCATTCTAATTTCCTCAGTTTCTCTTTCTCTATTTCACTATTTCTATCTCTTTTTATTTCTTTAACTATCCTTCACTTTCACGGGTTATTCTCGAATTTATAGGACCCCTCCCCCCCCCTTCCTTTCTTCTCCTTCTTCTGCTTCTTCTTCTTCTATCGTTTAAATGCCATTTCAACGAGTTTATCGCACCCTTTTACTTAGGTCAAATTCATATATGTCTTTCTAAATTAATTCTATTTTTTAGGGGGCTATTTTTTTATTATTTTTATTATTTTTATTTGTTTAATGGTTTAAAAATAGATAGGTTAAAAATTTTGTTCTTATAAGATAGTTTTTATTACGATTATTTGCTATTTTTTATTGCTAATTTAAAGATTGAATTATTTAGAGGTTATCTAGGTTTCTAGGTACTGTAAATTTTCGATAGATGGTGCTGTATTACAATTCAATTATTTCACGTTTTTTTTCAGAATTACATATAACATAAACTAACCTTACTTTTTATATTTTTTCATGTATTATTATTTTATATACTTCATTATTAATTGTGATATTATTTTGTGTGATGTTATAATTTACTAAATAGTTTAGGATTGATTTATTATTTAGGGGTTGTCTCGGTCTTTAGGTAGTATGAGTTTTCAATAGATGGTGCTGTAAAACAATTTATTTGATTCACGGTTTTTTCAGAATTACATATGACATAAATTAACCTTACTTTTTATATTTTTTCGTGTATTATTATTTTATATATTTTATTATTAATTGTGATATTATTTTGTGTGATGTTATAATTTACTAAATAGTTTAGAATTGATTTATTATTTAGGGGTTATCTCGGTCTTTAGGTAGTATGAGTTTTCAATAGATGGTGCTGTATTACAATTTATTTGATTCACGTTTTTTTCAAAGTTACATATGACATAAACTAACCTTACTTTTTATATTTTATTTTTATTCAAAAAGAAAAAGAAAAGGTAGAGATATTAATATTTAATTACTAATATTTTAAATAAATTATTTGACAAATATTATCATATTGAATATAATTTATTTTATAATCAGACACAATATAGTAATTTAAAAATAAAAAATAAAACAATTAACACGCGTTATTAGAAAAGATTTGTTTTTATTTATAACTTCCGGGACAAATTAGAAAAAATAAAAATACAAATGATTTGGATATTTTGACGAATACATTCATATATCTATTTGTTTATCCGTTCATTAATCATCCTAATAAATCATCATAATCATCATCATTCGTAAGTTTTCTCGTTGGAGTTGCAGTTTATCGAGTAACTAGATCCGACGTGTTGGTTTAACCGCGGTTCACGGCGCATTTGCAAACGGTAGCCAAGTCAGATTAAAATAAAAGAGATAACATAACTTTAAGAAGAGAGAAGATAGAATGAAAAAGAGAGGAGGGATAAAAGGGAAGAAAGGAGGAGGATGGGTGTGAGGGAAGTTGCCAGTTGATCTTTCAAAGTTTATGAGCGCACTTCATTCATTCATTCATTCGCGTCTCTCATTATCGATGGAATTCCATCTAAATTTTTTTTTTTCTATTTTTTTACTATTTCTTACTACATTTTTATTTAACATTTTCTTTCGGTACTTAACATACACACGATGTATCACAAGATTTAATTTTTCTGATGTTAAATAAAATTAAAGTTGAATTTATATTAATTTTTTTATAACTTATATTTTTATTATTATTATTGTTATTATTATTATTATTATTATTAGGATACATAGTGTATCCAAAATTTTCTTCATTTAATATTTTTTTATAGATAAAATCATGAAGCTTAAATTAAATTAAATTTAGTTATAAATTGTATTACAGAAAATTTGATTTTCCAATTATAATTGTTTGTCCGCGATAAACATCGAAATTACTGAACCGATTTAAATAAAAATTTATTTATTTTATTTGTTTTTCTTTAACTTAAAAAATAGAGTAGCCTATTTAGCGATTTATAATTTCAATTTTCATTTATTTGCACTTATTTTTGATTTCAATGCATATACACGATGTTATATTCATTACAGATGTTCATTCATTTAAATCTCATCTTAATATAATGTTTTTTTAAATAAATTTATAGTTATATCTTTCTTCAATCTATTAAAACTCGAATAACATTACACGTTCAATTATTTTTCATTTACAATAATCAATTCTAAACGTTGATAGATACTACGTATAGATACCAATTTATGAATCATTAATTAAGCATCGTAGATATGAATTATTCGTTCAATTGAATATAACTCGAATAGATCATTGGTTTAAATCGATCTTAAAGATCGTTAATTTTAAATAACAATTGCCAACTCTCATAAATAAATTTTCGAAAGTTCCTAAAATTCATAAAGTACTTTTTATTATTTTCTTTCTTTTCTTTCTTCACAAATTTCAATTCGATACAAAGAAAGTTTCTTAAAAGTTTCTTCAAAAATTCAGATTATTTTTTTAACGTTGTCCATACTGATGTCAATTTTGTTTTTATCAATTAAAAATTTCTTCAATTTATAAATAAATAAATTAATTAAATAAAACCCACATATTTTTCTTTCCATTTTTTATTTTCTTTTTTTTTTTTTTTTTAATTCTTCGATGTTGCACACACTTACTTTGCATACTTTGCATTCTATTTTTCTGTCTGTCTGTTTGTCTGTCTGTCTGCCTGTCTGTCAGAATCGTTCGTTTAAAGTCCCTTCTCTCTCTCTCTCTTTCTCTCTCTCTTTCTCTTTCTCTCTTTCTCTCTTGTTCGTGAAAGGGCTCCTTTGTGCGAAGAAAGGAGCCCAGGAAAAAGGAGTCGCGTTATCGTCAAAAATTGAACGGCTAACGTCGTACTGCAAAACGTGAAATGCATTCTCGATCGTTAAAATGAAAAAAAAAAAAAAATAAATAAGATGGGAAGGGTTTACGTTAATGTACAATGTACAATGTACAATGTATAATGTATAATATACAGTGTGTTGTTGTATGTATATGAAGTAGAATACAGTTTTATGCTCAATCATTTATCGAGAAATACCAATCTCTTTTATATTATTATTTTATTTTATATTTTATTTTATTATTTCTTATTCAATGTTTACTAGTTTTTTAAATTTATTATCTAATTAGCAAGATAATATATAATCTAATGTGAAAGAAACATTTTTGTGTGTAATTTATTAAAATAAATTTTAATTAATATATATAATTATATATATATATAATGTGTAATAGTCAAATTTGTGTAATATAAATTTGTATTTTGTACAAAGTAATTTAATATAAATTAATTCATATAAATTTATATTAGTAAAATTTAAATATGTATAAAAATATAAAATGTAAAAATATAAAATATAAAAATTTGTTTTACTAATTAATATATTTTATTAATTAATTAATATAAATTTGTATTTTGCATAAAGTAATTTAAAAAAGTATATATCTTTCTTTTATTCGTATAATATTTTATTTTTATTTTATTTTAATTTATTTTTCCATCGAATATTATTTTAAATACAAGATAATTATTTATTCAATATTATAGTATTTAATTATACAAGTATTGTATTTAAACTTCAAATTATTTAAACGAGTATCTTCTAAATGCAGTTTTTTATAAATGCAGTTTTTTATAAATGCACTTCTTTCCTCTTCTTACAAATATCAAGGAAGTGTGAAATACAAATTAAAAAAAAAAAAATAAGAAAAATACCAAATTCAAATAGAAAGTTTAGTAGTAGTGAAAATATAAATAGATCGACATCTTAAAACATGCATAGTCTAGACACACACACACGTACACATACATATAAGTAAAGATAGTATTCACTCTTGTTTTGCGAATAGAATAACGAACGATTGAGAAACATGTGGTCAGATCAAAAGCTGTCTTCCTTCTGTGCGTTTTCCTACTTTTTTTCTTCTTTTTTTTTTCACATAGTATACCTTGTTGACATATATATATATATAAGTCAACCGGAAACGCAAACACACCGATTGGTATTTCCTGGATCTCTTCAAATGATACGAGACATTAGGTGTTCCTATTCTTCGAAAACATTATTTACACATACTCACACACATACACACATATATATGTATATATTTATTTAGAACGAGGTTATGTATTTAAAAAAAAAAAAAATACTAATTTTTCCTCACGAACAATTATCAAATACAAAATTTTCAACTTTTGTTTAAATTGGTTAAAAAAAAATACAAATTACAATCATTTTTTTTCCTATATTTTAATATTTATATTTATGTTTTATTTGTTATAACTATTCTTTATCTTTTAAACCAATTTTCACGCGAATTTTAGAAAAAAAAAAATAACAATTCC